CTGGCACTCGGTCCATTCGGCGACAAAATCAGCTAACGCTTGGGACTTGATTGAAATTCGGGGCTTGAATGATATGTCCAAAGACATCAACTCCAAAGCCCACTTAGCAATGCGTCCGTTTGCTTCACGGTTGTGCAGTATATCACCGAGTGGAAAAGATGTGACCACCGTTACCGAGTGACCTTGAAAGTAGTGAGATAGCTTCCTGGTAGTAATTAGAATACCATATAACAGCTTCTGAACCTGAGGGTACCTCGTTTTGGAGTCGGCTAGGACCTCGCTGACAAAATAAATCGGTCGCTGGACTTTTTGGACATGGCCTTCTTCCTCGCGTTCAACGACCAAGACTGTGCTCACAACCTGGGAGGTGGCTGATACATACAGCAACAACGGCTCCTGCGGGTGTGGTGAGGCTAAGACTGGTGGCTCGGTGAGGAGTTTCTTGAAATCTTCGAAGGCCTTCTGTGCTTCGGGTCCCCACTGGAAGTTATCTGTTTTCTTCAGCAGCTTAAAGAAGGGTATCCCCCGCTCGCCAAGTCGTGAAACAAATCGGCTGAGCGCCGCCATGCATCCAGTCAGCTTCTGAACATCTTTCTGGGTACTTGGCGGTTTCATGTTGAGGATAGCAGTAACTTTCTCCGGGTTGGCTTGGATGCCCCTATGAGACACCATAAAGCCAAGCAGCTTCCCTGACGGTACTCCGAAGGTGCACTTTTCAGGGTTCAATTTCATCCTGAAAGCACGGATGCTCGCAAAGGTTTCTTCTAGATCCGAGATCAAATCATCCTTTTGCTTGGTCTTGACGACTACATCATCCACATAGGCTTCAACGTTGCGGCCGATCTGCGTTGAGAAGCATCTCTGAATCATGCGTTGATAAGTTGCTCCTGCGTTTTTTAGTCCGAACGGCATGGTGACGTAGCAGTATGCCCCAAAAGGCGTGATGAATGAAGTCTTCAAGCAGTCGGATTCCTTCAGTCGGATCTGATGATACCCCGAGTAGCAATCCAAAAAACTGAGAAGCTCACGGCCGGCGGTCGAGTCGACTACCTGGTCAATGCGAGGCAACCCAAAAGGATCTTTAGGGCAGGATTTGTTGAGGTCGGTATAATCAACACACATGCGCCATTGCCCTGTTTTCTTCCGAACTAGAACCGGGTTTGCCAGCCAGTCGGGATGAAGGACTTCTTTGATGAAGCCTGCTGCTAACAGCTTGGTTAATTCCTCCTTGATCGCGTCCTTCCTGTCTTGTGCAAATCGGCGGAGTCGTTGTTTGATAGGCTTGGCATCTTCTTTGACATGTAAGGAGTGCTCAATCACCTCTCTAGGAATACCGGGCATATCAGATGGTTTCCACGCAAAGATATCTTTATTGTTCTGAAGAAAGGTGATGAGCGCGCTTTCCTATTTACAATCTAACTCGGCGCCTATTACAGCAGTTTTAGTAGGATCAGAGGGATCTAGGGGAATCTTCTTAGTCTTGGCTTCGCTTTCTCCACTCTTTGAAGTCTTGGTAGCAGGTATTTCTCCTTCGCTCGCCGTGGCTGCAGCCAGTCGGATATCCTCTCGGGCAGACGCCATCTCGCGGGTTTGAGCCATGTCGCAACTCTCCTTGTCGCATGTGACGGCTTGCTTGATGTCACTCCGTAGGGATAGGACTCCTCGGGGACCAGGCATCTTCATCATCATGTAAGTGTAGTGCGGGACGGCCATGAACTTGGCTAACGCCGGGCGTCCGAGTATGGCATGGTATGCTGTCTCGAAATCGGCGACTTCAAAGCTGATGTTCTCTGTGCGAAAGTTTTCCCGAGTGCCAAAAGTGACCGGGAGGGTGATCTGGCCGAGTGGAGTTGCGGATAATCCTGGAATCACTCCGTGAAAAGGCGCATTGCTTGGTTTTAACTCGGAGCGAGGGATCTGCATATCATCCAGGGTCTTGGCGAAGAGGATATTGAGTGCACTGCCACCGTCGATGAGGGTTCTGCGAAGCTTGACATTACGGACCACTGGGTCTAGTACCAGGGGGTACCGCCCCGGGTGGACCACTCGGTCAGGATGATCCGAGCGGTCAAACTTGATTGCGATCTCTGACCATCGAAGATATTGGGGCGTGTCGGGCTGAACAGCATTGATCTCCCGTTCAGTCAACTTCTGCTTCCGTTTAGACTCATAAGCCAGGGGGCCGCCGAAGATATGGTTGAGCTCCTTGCGGTGATCTTGAAAACCTGCCGGGGTGTCGCCGTCGTCCTTCTTCCTCGACGTGCTTTGTTCTTCGTCAGAATTCTTCCGTGCAGTCTTGGTGTATTGATCCGCGAATTGCTTGTAGACGAAACAATCTTTGGCCACGTGGTTGGAGTTAGGATGGTGCGGGCATTGGGAGTTCATGATCTTGTCGAACGTGTTGACGCGCGAACGCTGTCGAGAAGAGTGACTGGCGGTTGCAACAAGTTCCGCAGGCTTACGCTTGCGGTCCTTATGATTGTTACTTCCACCTCCTCCCGTAGCCGGCGTACCCTTGTTTTGCTTCCAACTGGGACCCGACTGCTTTGATGCGGTGACGGCGTCTTCAGCCTTGGCGTACTCGTTGGCTTTTTCAAACATAAGCTTGACTGTCCTGGGAGGCTTACGCCCGAACTTGCCGACCAATTCTTCGTGGCGAATCCCTTTGGTGAATGCGGCGATGATAACGTCGTCGGTGATGTCGGAGATCTTGTTGCGTTGTTCAGAAAATCGCCGGATGTAATCTCGAAGGGATTCTCCGGACTTCTGAATAACGTTGTAGAGGTCGTATTGTGTGCCGGGACGCTCGAAGGTGCCTTGGAAGTTGGCGATGAAGTGGTCGCGTAATTCAGCCCAAGATCCAATTGTACCACGGGGCAATCCATGGAGCCAAGATCGGGCGGAATCTGCTAAAGCCACTGGTAAATAATTCGCCATGGCTTTGTTGTCTCCTCCTGCTGCGCGGATTGCGAGACCGTAGACGGTAAGCCACGATTCTGGATTAGTGGTACCGTCGTACTTCTCTATTCCAGTCGGCTTGAAGCCGGCTGGCCAATCCACTCGACGCAGATCGTCGATGAAGGCTGCTACTCCGTCAAGGTCGTCGTCGTGGCGGTTCGGCGAATGATGATGGCCTCGAGCTGCTCGGCGCTGTATGATTGTGTCGCGAAGATCGACGGGGCGGCGACGAGGTGGTGAGCGAGGCCGTTCCACTCGGCGCTCCCTATGAAGGTCGGGAGGTGAGTGAACAGACCGCTCGTCGTGTCCCCTGCTCCTGCGGTTGGATCCGGCGCCGGTGATGCTGAGGCTTGGATGACGGTAGTCATGAGATCGGAAGTGGGGGACTCGGCTGCCAGTCGGCGTGTGGACGCTTTCGGAGTTAACTGGGACCGAAGCCGCAATCATGGTCTTCGTCTGGTTCAAGATGTTGACGACGTGGTCGGATTGATTGAGCTCGTTTTGGTTGAGGAGGGTGTCGAGAAGGGTGATCGCGGCAACCGCATTCTGTTGAGGGGTGCGGAAAACCGGTGTCCCTTCGACATCTTGTTGGCCGATGAGATCACGCGCTCGGCGCCCTGCTTCCAAAGCTCGCTGACGTCGATCCTCAGCCTCCTTCGCGATCCGCTCACGGTCCTGCTGCTCACGCCGTAGCCGTTCTTGTTCTTGTGCTTGATGCTCCTCCTCCAGTCGGCGACGTTCTTCGGTCTCCCGGGCTTGGCGTTGCTCCTCCGTCTCGTTATTGGCCATGAAAACGCCAAAGTAGAGAGGAGTGTAGTTGTCATCTAGGCTTCCGTCGAAGTCGTCGAGATCCGGGTCGTTGTAGCGAGAGGTAAACTCGTCGTACTCCACGATGTCGGTGGGGCGCGAGTGGACGGTGGGAGAGCTGTAGTGGCCGTCCAGCTGATCCGTCGAAACCGTGCCGAGTGGTTGGAGGATGACGCCGACTTCCCTGAAGCTAGGCGAAATCGGTGTTGAAGCCGACTTCCGCCTAGGCCTACGGGATGGAGATGCTGTCGTGATGGAGACGGCCGCCAAATCGTCGGGGAGCTTCATCAGGATCGGTGGGTAAGCCCCCTCGTCTTGATCTGGTGAGGTTGGTGAAGATGCGATCTCGCCCGAGTGGTTTGAAGCCGACTCGATTGAGATGGTCTTGAAGTAACTTTCAGCCGCGTTTGGGAGTCCAAACGGGGCCGAAATCTGGTTCTCTCCCGACTGGTCCGACTCCGAGTCAAGGAGAGAGATCTTGCCGAAGTTGTTGGTGACGAAGTCGAGGCTGCCGAACCGAAACGTCTGCCCGGGTGGGAAGACGAGGTCGTCGATGCCGGAGACAGGACCCATTGCACTGATCGGCGAAAAGCTTGACGCGGCCCCTACCTGGCGCGCCAACTGTCGAAACTAGATTTCGGCAATAATAAAAGGGGGTGGCTATCAAGCTGGAAAAGTGTATGGGTTTGAAGACAAAGGATTTATACAGGTTCAGGCCTTCTTATTCAAGAAGTAATACCCTACTCCTGTCCGGGGATGAATCCGCCGAGTGTATTATTGATTGTATGATTTGGAGAAAATCAACATATGCCCCTAGAGGCACCCGGACCCCCCTTATATATGGGAAGGAGTCCGTGTTACAAAAGACAATCTATATCCCTAACGGAATATGTAGATACAGATAAAATACAGTCGTAACCGACTAAGTCTCAAGGTGTTTCCTTGATGCACAAGTTGAGAAACAAACCCGAGATACAAATAAGATATTCTATCTATATTCGGTATCCTATATTCAGTCCAAATATCATCGCCGTGTAGATATGGGATATCCATAATCTCCACACTGTGAACTTGTTTCATTGTGACGGAGGGAATAAATATACTAATGAAAATAATTAAAACTAGCTAATTCAGCTTTGCCTGTATTGATCGCGGAATCACCGACCGAGAAGCTCTCTAGTTCTAGGGCAGGTTTGAATTAATTAGTGGTATTAATGAATGATTAATTATTGCAGTGGACCAGGATCATAGCAGGCAGCATCGATGAAGCAGCAGGCAGGGTAATTGAATTGCTGGAGGATACAAGCAAGGGGAATGTGATGTATTTCCATGGCTGGGGTGGACTGGGGGCTTCAGCCGTCCTTAGAGCAGTCGCCAAAAGACTGACGATGAGGCCATCGCCATCGCCAGGAAGAAGAAGGTGGGAGAAGATGATCCACGTTGATTGCTCGGTGTGGCAGAGCAAGAGGGCCCTGCAGAAGGCCATCGCCCAGGAGCTGCAGCTTCCTCGGTCGCTGATGGCCTTGTTCGACCAGCACGACGAGGAGGATGATTTCAGTGGGGTGGATCAGGGCATGAGAGGGGTGGTTCCACTTGTCACACAGACAATCTTGAGCGACCTGGTAAACCACACATTCCTGGTGATCTTCCACAATGGGAGCGGCAGCTACATTGATCTACAGGAGTGTGGTGTCCCTGTAATAACAGGAATCTTGAACAAAACGGTGTTGTGGACCTCCCGAAGCAGCTTTCGGATTACCGACTTGGACATGGATAACGTAAGCAAGGAGGATCGGGATAAGCTTGCTGGGCTGAGTGATGTCGCTATATATGCTTATCCAACCGCAGGCGATGAATATAGTTTTGTAATCTTATTTGGAATGCTTTTGCATCAAGAGGCAGAGGAGGTTGCCAGGTACACCGGTGTCCCTCAATCTGCTGGCATGAGCACCGAGCTTGTCAAGAAGTGCATCATGTATCAGTTGATGCTAAGACAACAACATGTGGACTACACCCAACACTGGGATACCCACGCAGCTAACTATTGGGTATGCAGTGGAATCATACAAACCTCAGACACCACTAGTAGTACAAGTTGTCATAGCTCATCGCCATGGGAGATAGCCCAAGCTCTTTATAATAACTTGATCTTGGAGTTTTTGACCATAGACGATTACAACAGCAACCCAACTTGTGCGAAAAGAATACAGAGAGCCCTACGACTGCCTTCTGATTTTGTGGGCGAGTCGTCCTTCTTCTGGACATGTGATGCTGCTGGCAATAACAATGTCGACGCAACTACAGCTTGTTGTAGACAGAAATCACTGGAGGCCAAAATGTTCCAACATCCATCTGCAAGCTGGCTACGTGTGATACATCTCTTTGAATGTACCTTCAGTTTTGCATCTCCACCCTTCCTCTCTTGCAGCAGCCTAAGATTCCTCCTACTTGACCATTGCAAAGACCAAAACAGCAGCAGGACGGACTCAACGCTGACGATGACAACGGATACCGGAGATACTAGAGCTTGTTTTCGGAAGCTGTGGGTGCTGGACTTGAGTTTCACAGACTGGTATTGGCTCTTATCGGTTGAGGCCCTAGATTTAATGGTTGAGCTCAGGGAGTTGAATGTGAAGGGAATCAAGCATTGGAGCATAAGCCATCTACTCCATCGCCTTGATGATGATGACGCTAGTAATAGTACCCGAAGCAGCAGCCGCAAGCCTTGGCTGCTCAGCCTTGTCAAGCTCCAAGTCACAACCGAACCAATAACTGAAGATCAACATCAGTCACAAGTATGGAAGGAAGATCAGGTAGCAGCAACATTATTCCCGAACCTATCTAGCTGCAAAATCGTAAAGACGATCATTCTTGATGGTTGTTTTGAGTTGAAGCGAATTGACCCTCACGTCCTGCCACCATCACTCGAGTCATTTAGCTTCTCCAGCAGCAGCAATGACAATGATGTTCATGTCTCAGCCAAGATAGAGAGCATCTCCTTTCGGGGATGCACCCAGTTGAAGAGTTTGTTATTGAGAGGACTATTTCAAAGGCTCAAGCAGCTGGACGTGTCAGAAACTTGTATTAAAACCCTCGACCTACATGCAATGCGAGGCAACGGGTCTCTCAAGGAGCTATTTCTGCTTGGATGCAAGGAGCTTCGTGCAATACTATGGCCAAAACAAGATGTATCATTGGAGGTTCTGCACATCGACACTAGTAGCACAGAACTTGATCATGCTACAGGTGTAGAAGAATCATCATCATTCTCACCTGTTGAATTTAAATGGTATATTTCAGTGAGGGACAGAAGGCTCCTTCGCTCGCTAAATGATACAAAATATCCCTTGGATGCACCATGCATCGAGATCTCATCCCCTCCTGCTAGTGTTGCTACTGCTACTAACTGATGGTTCTGAATTAGGCGGAACAATAAGCAAGAGAAGGCCCATTGCCGTTAGCAGGGCTGAACAACGTTGGTTGATGTCGACCAAATGCCGACGACCAGCTGCTGACAACAAGAAGTTATATGCGGTGTCAACTTCAAGGTCCCAGCACTTGCAACTACAAGCAACCATGAATGGCAACTGGA